ACATCTCCTGGGGGCTAAGCCCCCCTTGTCCTTAAAACCTATTGACACCCCTGGCTGAGAGTGATTCATARCACATGTTGTGAGCATGACCTCCTCACATATGTAATTGAACATAATGCTATTTTCAAGATTTAACTCTGAAACAAATGCATGATGACATGGGACAGACCTGAGGAGTCAGAAAGAAGGCAAGAAGAATTTAAACCAAAAATATAAGTATCTGATCCAGATTAAAAAAATAAAAAACACCTAAATGTCCTGTAGCCAACATGAGGGACACTGAAAGTAAAGCAGGACAACAGAGGACAGTGGAGGACACAGAAAATGATTCAAGCTGAAGAATATGAGAAATGGATCTCCCGTTGACAGCGGATAGGGGTCACTTATGATAAGTGTCCCCTTCTCTTTCCTCAGTGGGAGTATATTCCAGCGCTGAGTTATCAGCTGCCAGGTCCCGCAGCCACAAGGTGACCTTCTTTGATCATCCAGCTGGTGGCAGCCAGCTGCAAAAACCTGACAGAGACAGGTGTTCGCTTTCAGCTCCCACCGGCACGCTGTCATTATGCTTTATTCATTCAGTCTGAACTCACAGGGAAAAAAAAACTTTAAAGGGTAAAGAGGTTCCCCGCAGGGCAGATATAAATCAAGCTCTTTCCCCACATACAGTGATCCTTGCAGGCTTGTAAAAGCTACTGTAGACTGCAGTCAGGGAAGGAAAGTATATCAGCTGTGATGCAGAACATGCTAATGTAGACAGCTTGTCACATTCACTCAGAAATGATACAGGGACCAATTAGGAGCTGCTTTTTACAGAAGCAGAGCGTCATTATGAGTTAAAGTGGAAGYTCAGATCGTTTGAAGAGGGGTTCTGTGAAAAACAAACAACATCCTACCTGTTCTGGATATGTTTTTTGAATGAATTAATTTGGACCAGAACGACAAGCTAACCGCTAGTCCCAACAATTTCACATTACATGGATATCAACGTACAGCTCTGTGACTGCTTTCAAGCACAAGCAGCGGCAGCAGCTGTAGCACTTCTGGTGCAGCCTGGGGGCACTTCCTATAAGAGAARTATAATATTTTTGCCCACAATAAACATATAATTCACAACTGGTGTCAGTGTAAAGRTTCATAAAAAATGAAATTCCTGAGACTAAAGTTATTTTAAGAGGGCAGCAATTTAATTAAACGTTGGCCCAGTTGCACTAACTGTTACCTCATCAGTCTCAAACATGACTGAATGAGTCGAAGCAACACTCTGGTATTTTTTTTATATGGGAATGACATTATAGCATGATACAGCTCAAAAATGTCAATTTTATATAATACTCCCGCTTTAAAACAACAGAGAAGATAATTTGTTGCATCCCCTGCACCTGGTGGGTGGTGCATGGTTCCAACAGAGATGTGGTTCATGAGATGCAATGATTRCAAACTGTCAGTAATATTTAATGTGATTTTGAGGATATATTATAACTCCATATATTCAAATGTACTATTAAAGCCCAATTTTCTWTTCCATTATAAACACATTTTCTTTGATAAGCACCTCATTAAGATGGAAATAACAGATATGATGTATAAGAAGCAGCAGATTTGTGATGGTGGCACATCCACACAGGAGCACAAAAGATAATATGATTTTTTTTTGTTGCCACAGCCACTGGTGCAAATTAGGTGTTTGTTTTGGGGTTGGTGTGTACGTGCGTGTGTGTCGATGAATGCACCACGGTGCAAACTGGCTGTGAACCGTTCTATTGTCCCGTGGCTTTTGATTAACGTGAAGTGTGGCTGAGGAACAATTCCAGCACTGTTATCAGGAGCAAACAGAGGGAGCCTTCGGGTCTTCGGGCTCAGCAGGGGGGCCCTGAAATAGGTCCCAATGCTGCCGGGCTGTGTTCCCAACAGCTGGATTGATCATATCTGATGTTTGTGTTTAACCACAGGTGTGCGTGTGTGTGTGTGTGTGTCACAGCTTCCAGCTGAGGTGCAGGGAATTGTGTTTCTGTGTGTTTCTGCTCAGTGATTGAAAATCTCACTTCCACTGCTCTGAAAGGCTGATTGGCTCGACCTTGCCTACAAAACCCATTTGTTTTACTTCTGGGGAAAAAAAATTGAGTTTATGATGTAAATATTAGCAATTATTTACCTGAAGTAGGGATTCTTTAAGCAAATTAATAGCCCAGCATATACAGTATATGGATCAGCTACGATCAGATATAATTTTAGCTTAAAGGCTGTAAAGGTGTGCAGCCATTTCTTGCATTTGCTAAGGTTGATTAGTGGTGGAGGCCATCTTAAATGAACTTGAATCCAAATTATAATCAGTTGTAGATGTAGAACCAGTGATTACTTCATTAAAGCTAATTTAATTGTTGATGAGATATTTTGCTAACACTACACACAAACAAATAGAAATGATTATTGCCTTTAGTAGAGAGATATTTAGTCAAGTTGTAGACTATTATCTTTTGCAGCTGTACAACAATCATTACAATTTTCTCTTTTAATTAATGTCACACTGTTTTTCTGCACACACACACACACACACACACACACAGGGCCGGATTAACACTTCGCTGTACCCTGGGCAACAATTTTCAAGGGCCCCATCATCACAACCCCAGGATTACCATAGTCTGGTAAATGCAGAGTAAATTATTGCAATATATAGTAAATATGCTCCATACTTTAAATTCTAAGCGTATTTTGATGTACAAATGCTCATAGAACTACAAATACACTACTATGTCCTCTTGTCAATGACACTCCTTCACATGATGCTATGAAAATAAAACACATCAGTATAACCTGGTAAACATGACCCACTACAGTGAGATCGAGGGAATTGTCCTCCATTTACACAAAAGCAACGCATGACATTACGCAACCCTCTCAGTCACCTGACCCACCTCATGTGGACTGACCAATGAGAAGATCTCAACTCATGTTCACAGTGACAGGCAGCCTCTGTGCAGCACAAGAGCTCCAACAGACAGTTTAACAAAA